TGGTGCCAGACGCTTTATCTAGGGCCTATGAGGAGGGGGTGGTAGAAGTGGGTGCCATGACTCATCTGCCGGAAACTGCCGATGCCTGGTACCTTCAGAGATACAGGGAGGTATGCCAGGACCCACATTCTCAGCCTACCTGGAAGGTAGTGGGTGGGAGACTGTATCATTACCATCCAACTGAGGAGAGCGAAGGGTCCATAGACAACGAGGAAGCCTGGAAGCTAGTGGTTCCTGCCGAGAAGAGGCATCAAGTACTCGAGGAGGTGCACGATGCGCCAGCAGCGGGACACCAGGGGAGAGAACGAACGTTCTCCCGGGCTAGGCACCTGTATTTCTGGCCAAAGATGTACGATCAGGTCAGAGAGTACGTGCGGAGTTGCCCGGTATGTCAGCAATGCAAGGCAGAGCAAAGGCCGCCTTGCGGGCTGATGGGTCGTCGAGAGGTCTCGCGACCCTGGCAGGTGGTGGCCAGTGACATCACTGGCCCCTTCCCAAAGAGCTCACGAGGGTTCGAGTATATTTTGGTCTTTTTAGACCTGTTCACTCGGTGGGTGGAGTGCGTGCCCGTGCGCAAGGCCAACGGAAGGACCATCGTACGGGAATTGCACGAGAGGGTGGTCACCAGGTTTGGGGCGCCAGAGATTTTTCTTTCGGACAACGGGACCGAATTTAAAAATCAAGAGGTCGATGCCTACCTGTCAAGGAACGGCATCCAGCGCGCCCTTACCCCAGTTTACCATCCCCAGGCAAACCCCACGGAGCGAGTGAACCGAACCCTCAAGGCCATGCTCATATCGTATGTGGAGCGGGACCATAAGAGCTGGGACGAGCACCTGCCTGAGTTCAACTTTGCGTTGAACTCGGCAACTCACAGCGCGACAGGGTATAGCCCGGCCATGCTGGTCTTCGGTAGACAGCCTACTCCCCCCTCGACCTTTAGAAGGGCCCAGGATCAGTTGGCTCGGGAAGCTTCCGAGGGCCAAGAACTGACCGAATGGGGCGAGCACATGCGCCAGTTACCAAACTTGTGGGAACGCGCTGGCTCTAAGTCCAGGGAGGAGGCGGCTCGTCAGGCGGCCTACTACAACCGGAGAAGACGTCAGGCCGACTTTAGGGTTGGGGACTGGGTGTGGAAGCGGAACCGCATCTTGTCTTCCGCAGCTCAGGGCGTTTCGGCGAAGTTGGCACCGAAATACGCTGGTCCCTACGTGATTTTGGAGGTATGCGGGACGAATACCTACCGCCTAGGTAACCAGCAGGAGGAGTTGCCCGAGCTGATCCACGCCAAGGATCTCAAGCCCTATTTCGGCCCATACTCTGATGAGGACGACGAGGAACCAGGAGGCGGGGACTCAGCACCGCTGGACGAGGAGGAGGGCGTAGGCGACCCGCCAGCGAAGATCGAGGGATCCAGCGAGGATCCGATATGCGAACGCGTCGCGAATGCAGCCCCCTCGAACGAGCGTGAGAAACCCGCGGCGGCTCCGGAAGTATCGATCGAGGCGCCGGTTAAGCGTGGCCGAGGTAGGCCGCGCAAAAACCCCGCGTGCGAACCTCGAGAACCAGGTGGAGACGACCTGGATGGCAATGCGGTAAAGGGAAGGGGCAGACCACGTAGAACCGCCCAGCACGTGCGGAAGGTGGTGCTGCCAGCTGCCCCCGCAAATGGGCCATGCTCGCGAGGAAAGCGCCGGGGACCGGGACGTCCTCGTAAAGAATAGCGTCGAGCATTACACGGCGACGGGTAGGTTAAGGGCTGAGCCTGAGAAATCCCTTGACCCCACTTCTTCTCTTTTACAGATGGAGAGGAAGCTGGTCATCAGTGAGGAGGCCCTCGAGACGGCAACCCAGCTGCTGCTCGACCTGGGATTGGGCCCGGGCGCCGATCGGCTGATCGGCGATTTACGTCGCTTCATCCGGGCCCAGGTCGAGACGGCCGCTCGCGAGGGCCGCTCTCGCCAGCGGGTGGATGACTTCCTCCGGGAAGGTATGAGGGCCCAGGCCTCCAAGCTCTCGACCCGGGAAGTATCCACCCAGACCGACGGCCCATCCGAAGAGGGTCGTCGGTCACAGTCCACGCAAGACCAGGGTACGCAGACCCAAGGGTCGAGCGCGTCCACGGTGGAGAGCTCGACCCAGTGCCCCGGGCCAAGGGAGGCCTGCGGCAGCCAGCACTGGGTCTGCACCCACCCACGAGTCCCCCAGCAGGTGGGTCTCGAGAACACCTGGAGGCACGTGAGATTGGGCCTCCAGGAGCTCGAGAATGCCTGGGAGTTCGTCGGGGAACTCCAGCGCCAGGTGCATGCGCACCTGGGAGAGTTCCTCGACTTCCGAGGTGCCCAGGAACTGCTGGGGGAGTGGGCTCCTGTAGTCCGGCGGCAGAGGGCCTACGGAGAGGCCCTCCAGCGCGTTGACCGGGGGCTGGAGTCCCCAGAGGCCGCGGGCCCGCCGGCAGTGTTGCCACCGGCGGCCCCGACGAGCAGGGATGCGGCCAGGGCTCCAGCCAAGCCCCCGACCAAGGCTCAACACAAGAGAGCGTCGGGGGCCCCCGGCGCCGGGCAGGAATTCGTGGTCCGCGTGGACGGGTCGGTTTCCGACCCTACCGTGGTGGTGCGAACCGAGGGGGGACGCACATCCGCCACGGTGGGCGGCGTTACATTCATCGCCGCCCCGGCGTCAGCAGCCACGCCGCCCCAACAACCGACAGGAAGCCAGGGCCATGGGGCGGAGCCCAGCCTCGTCAGGCGACCGGGAAGAGGCTGCTATATCTGCGGCCATCCCGGGATCACGACCACGTCGAAGTGCCCCAACAAGTCGGAGCACTGGCGCTACCCAAGGCATAAGGCGCCAGGGGGCTCCGGCAAATGACGTGGGGGGGTGGTGGCCCGGGATGGGCAAATAAAGTATTTGTTGAGAATAGGATGTGTTGGTTCCTCTCCTTCCCCAATCCTATCCTTGGGGTCGCGAGTCAATAGGGTAGTTCGATCCGGTCGTTCGAAGCTAGGAGGGGGCTGCAACGATTACCGAAAATCGTTTGACTCGCGCGATGTAATTAGCGGTTAAGCGAGGTGAGCCGCGTTCGGTTCGCGAGAGAGGGAGAGCGCGTAAGGGGCAACGACCGGGAGGGGAGGCTCCGAGCGCCAGTACGACTGTGTCACTCAGTCATCCCGTGTGCCTAACCTCCATATTCTCCGTGCCGTTCGATTTTCGTTTGGACATTGACATTGTTCTTGGTGAGTGTGCGTGGGTGAGGTGCAGCGGTAGCAGCAGCAGCAGCAGCAGCAGTGATAGTTGCAGCAGCAGCTAAAACAGTAACTGCAGCAACGGCAATAACAGCAGCAGAAGTAGCGGCAACAACAACACCGGCAACAGCTTCAGAGGCAGAGCGGAGTAGCGGCGTTTCCGCCCTCGCCTTTTGGATACGGTTGGCCACCGTATCCCCTGCGGTATTGCGGTAGGTGCACCTTCCCCTTTTGTCAACTGTGATCACGGTTTTGCGTGCGAATCCGCGCAGCGAGCGCGAGGAGCGTATTGTTTTGCGTGCGAGCAGGTAGTTCGCGGCATCGCGGTTTTTTCTCTCTCTCTCAAAAAGCGTGTATTGTCATTCACGCGTGCGCGCGTCAGTCTCTCGGCCAAATCCCTGTGTAATTGATTTCAGTTAATAAATCATCCCTTGGTCTTTATTCGAACGAGTTTCCGTTATTGTGTTTCCCTTTGTCCGGAGGTCGCGCATATTTGTTTACATTCCGATTCGAATTCGCCGGTTGCGAAGCACGAATCGCGTGAGAATCACTAGACGCGAGTCGACGTCCTAGGTTCCGGTGGTGACCGCTCGAGCGCTAATAGTACGAGCGACAGCGCCGCCAAGTGGCGAGTTGGGGGAACCCAACTCGGAATTTTGAAGAGACTCTGCGCAGGCGCACTCCTAGGCAAGGTAGGTTAATGCGCATCGAGCGCATAGATAACAAGGCTTCATATAGTTAGAGTACGGGCACTTTTAGAAGATTACCGACTAAACGACAGCCTGTTACATGAGAAACTAATAAAATAGAAGAGAAGATTCCGTAATTGTCATTTTTTCCCCTTTGTTTGTTTCAGGGGGCCAGCTAGTGTTAGATAGTAAATATTCAAAGTATTCTTCGTTGGTATATAAAGATCGTCCTAATGAAGATATCGGAACGAAAAATTTTTTATTTTGAAGGGCTCAATAAAAGCTTTTATTTTCTTACTCATGAGTATCAAAATTTTATTTAGAGATCCTAGAAATTTCCCAAGATCGTAACATCTTATATGTTGAAAAAGTTACTTTACCGCGTCTTTCTGAAAATTAGAATGAATGAAAATTATCTTGGGAAGTCTCATTGTTTTAGTTAGAATCTGTACTATGGAACGAGTCGAGCTGATTTTTAGAAAAATTATTTATTTTATTTTCATGTTTGTCAACCAGTTTTTCTAAAATTATGAATTGTTTTTCTTAATAAAATTTAAAAAACCAGTCGTAAACATGAAAAAATATTTTTTTTGTAAATCCGCTCCACTAATAACATAATACAAATCTTAACAAAGACAACGAGTCCTCTTAACCTGATTTCCGTTCACTCTAACATTCAAAAAGTGTGGTAAAGTAAATTAAAAAAAATAAAATGTTACGAGTGCAGGAACTTCCTAGAGCCACTAAATAAGATTTTGATATACTCGCAAGCAGAAAGATGAAAGCCCATACCAAATCATTCAAGTTGTTAAACGCTAATAAACAAAACATTCAAGTTTCACTATTTAACAACGGTTGGTCCCCTTAATTTCAATTTTCTTTAGAAACATAATTTTCGTATTTGATTATCCAGTTGCTTTTTAAAAACTGGTTTCACACGTTAATCTTGTCATATGAAGTTCTAGAAATAAAAACTGAAAAGCTCTAAGATAAACGATATATTAAATATAGATCGACTAAAGACAACTCTAGGAAGTTCTAGTAAACTATGGTTTATTATATTTACCTTCTTGGTCATAATCTACTTCATGTGTCATGCTAAATAAGTTATGAGCTGCATTTAAAAATTTTGCAGTGTTATCCATGATTAATTTGTGCATGTCTAATACTTCTTCCTCCAACATTTGCAAAGCAGATACTGCTTCATGAAAGGTATACAAGTCTTGAGATAATTCTCCTTCCTGAAATTTATCATTTTTGTTAAATATTTTAAATTATAATTTTATGATAATAAAACTAAATCGAGAGAATATTTTAGTTAAATTTAGCAAATGTATCATCAAGAATATTATTTTATAAAGCTCTATTAGGTTAAAATATAAAATATATAAAGAAGTTGTGATGTTCGTATCACTTATAAATAATAATTCGAACTCTCGTATCTAGCTAATGAGTAAGAATTTATTTCTAATAAAGTTACTCTACTTGTTGAGAAAATAAATAGATAGATCAAATCGACTCCACTAATAATAACATATTGATAAATCAAATATATAATAAATATGTATAATGTTTGAAGGAAAATCAGACTATGCTCTAGTTTCTTATGGTGCGAATTGTCCCATAAGCAGGGCTAAAGTCTTTCTTGGATAGAATATAATTCGACCCAAGTTTCTTATAGCGCGAGATGTTCTATAAGTTGAGCTCGAATTATAGGAAAGGAAATGTCTTGCTCAGTTAATCACAATGAGAGAAAGAACTTAGGTATTAGCCAAGTTTATTCAGACTCATGCGCTCACCTTGCAAGGCTAGAAGTGAATCCTAGCCTGTGCAAAGGTGGGCGTATTTATACACAGATTTTTCCGCTTATTTTTGCAGGAGAGATGTCATCGAATATTCGAGAGACATTCGCGAATTTTAAGAAATGTGTTTTCTTAATTTACAAGTAAATAAACATTAATAATGAGCTTTCAACACGTGAGAACTTTACAGAATTCGCTATTTGTTGATTTAGTGTAATTTACAATTATCGAAAATAGTGTCGTCAAAAGTTATTAACTAATAAAGTTAATTAATGTAATATTACCATATTTATAATGGAAAGTTATTAAATTCTTACATAGCCTTATAGTTTATTAATTTTAGAAGTATTTTTTAAAAAGAAATATTCAAATTAGTTAATAACATTTGAATTATAATAAATTTTCATATTTTTAACGGTTTTTTCTATAATCTTATAACGCAATTATTGGATTAATTATCTAAGATTTATAAATTATAAAATTGTCATTAAGTATAAAATTAACCCTTTCGTTCTATATACAACTTGTTGTTTAAATAAATTATTAATTGTTTATTTATTAATAACAGTTATTATTAAGCTGTTATCAATGAAACCAATTTTTACTCATGTTCATTTCTTATTCATTTTGCATTTAGACTATTTACATTTTTCTAATAATTCATATATTTAGTGTAATAAATAAATTAAATTTGTATATTAAAATTCATTATTATTTAATAATTAAACGCAATTTGTATGACTATATTCTAAATCTACGTTCTAAAATCTATATAAGAAATACTTTGTTATATCAAAATTATCTCTAATTAACATATTTTTCTTAAATAACAAAAATCATTATATCTATATCTATTACTTTGTGAGGTCACGTTCCTTATTTTGGTTATAAAATTAGACTCTTGTACTAATACAATCAAATAATCGGTGAGGTGGCGCCGTTTAATGTGATGATTTGAGTAAACAGATAGATGTGTTTGACGGGTTGCGGTGATTCAGTGATATAATAAACTAGCTCATAGATAGGACCATTACAAAGTTCCTTGGAAATATCGTGATCTGCAGTTAGTAGAACTTTTGTCATCAGATGTTGCGACAACACCGAATATTTCAAATCCTTGCATTCATTTCATCTTCAGTAAAATTATACGGCATTTGTAAGTTTTTTTAGTTGGGCAACAGTAAACGAATAGCATCCCAAATGAAAATAAATATACAAATTTTGTACAGAATCTATACGAAATTTATACAATTATATATATATATATATGGGTCAATCTAATACTTTTTTGCAAATCGGTGCGCACGAGGTCAACCGATTTTGCTGAAATTTTGATAATAGGTTCTACTTAAAAAAAAAGAAACTGCCCAAAATTTCAGCCCTCTATATATAAAATTGCGTTTTCAGGACCGATTTGAAGGCCCTTTTTAAGCGTTTTTTCTACTGTTCTTCAAAAGGGCCTCAATCCTTGAGTTTTTAAGGTTTTTCAACCAACGACATCTCATTTTCTTTGTCTTTTTAAGAGCTTTTTATTCATGTAATGTGTTATACACGTTACTTTATGGGCGAGCTGCTTACCGGCATATAAAGAAAGCACTTTTTTTCCTATTTTTGCTCATATTCAAAGCCCTGTAGCTCCGTCAATTTTCATTATTTTTAGGCTTGCGGGGCATCATTTTTTTTGTCTTTTCAAGACGAAAATAATTGTGCCCCGCAAGCCTAAAAATAATGAAAATTGACCAATCTATTCTATTTCAAAGTTTGCTATTTTAGCCAAAAGTACGTTTTTCGCAGTTTTCGTGCCTGTTTTTTTATATGTTCCGGTATCTCGATCGAGCTAAGAATCTGTTAAAGTGTACACCAAATGTTGTAGATTGAACTGCAATAGGTTTTGAACGGAGTATCGAACTCTATCATGTTAATTGAATCTGTTACTTTTACCTATTTTTTGATGAAATTTCCTTCTATTTTCCACCGTTTTGAAGTACTCAGGATTGTAAATTTTACAACATTGCCAGTCTACGTAAATTTAAAATATATAGAGCAAAATCCAATACCCTTTTCTTTGTGTAACGTGACAAATATAACGTAATACATAAATATTTCCCATAAAGTCGGTTTCTGGATAATGACAATCCTTGGGATAAATTTTATTTATATATATATATTATATATAATATATAATTTATTTTTTATATATAATAAATTATATATTATATATTATATATAATATATAATTTATTTTTTATATATAAAAAATGCAGATCCTCCTTCGATATAGTATCATTTTTGTGCATAGTTTTATCTGCACGAAATCTTTCTCTGTGACATTCATCGTCAACATAACCACTGACACAACAGATTTCTTCATTGGCAATGGCCATTTTATTCTCAAATACTAATACTTCAAAAAAATGAACTTATTATAATCTATTTTTTTGAAAATATCACAACATTAAATAATAACTAAGCAAATAATTTTCAAACCAGTGTGATACAGATGTCGTACGTTTCAAAGCATACAATAACAATGCAGGAATTACACGGGCACAGCATGAGGTATCAGAAAGTCTAAGAAGTTGGTAAACAAAAATAAAAGATATCAAGAAATCGAGAAAAAAAATTATGTTCTCAGATAGCTCGTCGACTAAATAAACAAATTCTATGATCGATTTGTTTGTTCTTGTTAAATTAACCATATGAAAAATTTAAATTAATAGCGATCGGCTGGCATCCACATTCATCGTGGATGCAAATATTATAAAATACTTTAAAAAATGTTTAATTAGGTAACTAGTTAAAGTTCCTTATTTGTTAATAGCACTCAAATAGAAATTGCAAAAAGCTTAATTTACACATCAGTCAAAAGATAAAATTTTTATGTGTATTAGATGCATTACTGGAAACATTGCGCAAGCGCATTTTCATTTTGCGCCATTTATCTGCTGTTCGGTAGATGACGAGAATATTTATTGTAACTCTTTCCCTAATTATTACGAGCGATATTTATGATCCAACATAAAAGTGTTAGATTGCAATACACCTAACTCAACTTCACTACACTATATCTAAACCTGTTGCAAATAAGACATGGACGTGTTTGAATTTATCCCAAGGATTGTCATTATCCAGAAACCGACTTTATGGGAAATATTTATGTATTACGTTATATTTGTCACGTTACACAAAGAAAAGGGTATTGGATTTTGCTCTATATATTTTAAATTTACGTAGACTGGCAATGTTGTAAAATTTACAATCCTGAGTACTTCAAAACGGTGGAAAATAGAAGGAAATTTCATCAAAAAATAGGTAAAAGTAACAGATTCAATTAACATGATAGAGTTCGATACTCCGTTCAAAACCTATTGCAGTTCAATCTACAACATTTGGTGTACACTTTAACAGATTCTTAGCTCGATCGAGATACCGGAACATATAAAAAAACTGGCACGAAAACTGCGAAAAACGTACTTTTGGCTAAAATAGCAAACTTTGAAATAGTATAGCTTGGTCAATTTTCATTATTTTTAGGCTTGCGGGGCACAATTATTTTCGTCTTGAAAAGACAAAAAAAAATGATGCCCCGCAAGCCTAAAAATAATGAAAATTGACGGAGCTACAGGGCTTTGAATATGAGCAAAAATAGGAAAAAAAGTGCTTTCTTTATATGCCGGTAAGCAGCTCGCCCATAAAGTAACTTGTATAACACATTACATGAATAAAAAGCTCTTAAAAAGACAAAGAAAATCAGATGTCGTTGGTTGAAAAACCTTAAAAACTCAAGGATTGAGGCCCTTTTGAAGAACAGTAGAAAAAACGCTTAAAAAGGGCCTTCAAATCGGTCCTGAAAACGCAATTTTATATATAGAGGGCTGAAATTTTGGGCAGTTTCTTTTTTTTTAAGTAGAACCTATTATCAAAATTTCAGCAAAATCGGTTGACCTCGTGCGCACCAATTTGCAAAAAAGTATTAGATTGACCCATATATATATATATATATATATATATATACGAGGGTGGTCCGATAAGTACTTAACCTCACCGCCCGATGGCGCCACTCTCGCAAAAGAAATATTCTATCATGTAGTACAACCTTCTCGATGGTTACTGTCAAGATTTCAGCCGGATCGGAGTTGTAGTTTATTTTTGAGAGCGTGTGAAAACAAGGGTGTTCGTTGATTTTTGAAAAATGGAACAAGAGCAGTATCGGTCGGTGATTCGATTCTTGTTTTTGGAAGGGAAATCGCACAACGAAATCAAAAAGCGCTTGGATGCTGTATACGGTAACTCTTCTCCTTCGATGGCGACCGTCAAAAATTGGTTTAACGAGTTTCAACGTGGTCGCACGTCGATTTTTGAAGAGCCACGTCCAGATGTTCCGAAAACGGCTACCACGGAGGATAACGTGACAAAAATTCACGACCTCGTATTGGCAG